GTCTCTCAGAGCACATCTGCTCTCAGTGAAAGTGCCAGCCGCCCCGGCGCTGCGTTCCTCTGCTTTGCTTTGAGTTTATGTTCATCTGTCGGCACTGAGAGGTGCTCGGCCATGTGCTGCGGCCTCCGGGGCTGGAGCCGGCATTGCCCAGCAGCTCCTTCACTCCTGTGAAATTGTCGCTGTGACCGATGAGCCCCGGGAGCACTGCGGAGCGGAGCTGCTGCCCCACAGCTGACGAGATGAGGGTCCGACTGAGCATGATGCTAGAGTGGAAGCAGTAGCAGACTGGCCCGAGGACAAGTAATGATTTTAATAATTTTGTGACTTTGCAGCGTGAAAGATTTATCATTACCATACCCCAGTTAGACTTTGTAAGGTGCAAATCCTTGTAATTATTACTCTGGCCAGCTTAACTTCAAGGAATATCTGCACTCTTTCCTCAGAGTGTGTGTGTATTGACATATTTTCAAAAATAAGTTTAGTTCCAAACTGCTGTGCCAGAAGTTTCCTTGAGCAGCTGAGCTTGGGCAGTGATATGGGAACCTGATTTATGGCTGTTCCATCTGAAGGTCTGTTTTTCCTCTGAAGATTAAGTTTTGGGGCTCAAAAAGAGGTAGTGCTGTGGCTTGAGACTGAAGGCTCGATCAGTTCCTTTTGGAGGCACTGACATGGATTGTAAATATTTGCTGCTTCATTTGTTTTATTGCTGGATCTTGTTTCAGTTCTGAGATGGGAAATCAAGATTTTATTTCAGTTAGCTGGAGAGAAGGATCTGGGTGTGCTGGTGTGGTAACTCATACTATAGCATGACAGCCCTAGTTCCCAGTAATTCTCTTTTCTCTATCATATTTTTTTATGATTCCTCCATTTTCTGCTTCAGCGACATAATTTTGTTGATTTAAAGTAAAAAAAAGTGAAGTTAGTATGTGTTTCCAGAGTGTAGATCAGAGAATATGTTCAGTGAACATATGGATGCCCTGAAGAATGCTCTGGGCTGGGCCCAGTCCAGATCTCACTTCACTGTTACTCCCTCATTTCATTCTTTTAGGATTTTGTACTTCCAACAAGGAATAAACCTGCATATCACAGGGATGTCAGTATCAAAACCAAGCAAATTAAGGTGCATTGCATATGAATGCTTAAAAAATAAAGTGGCTGCTCTACCCTACAGAGAGTGCTTAGGCTATCTCAGGTGTCACTGAGCTCTCAGAGTTCTATGCTCCAGTATTCCCATACATATCGGGGAGACTGGAAAATGCCTGTGTTCCCTGCTAATGAACAGACCTGTCCCTTTGCAGTGGGAGAGGGAAGCCAGTCACTCCAGCCAGCACCCAGCCACAAATTAGGTTTGCTTTTTGTTTGTAGCTCATATTAAAAAAAATTTTGAAAAACCTGAGTGGAAATGACACCTTGATTTTACATGGTATCTCTTCATTAAAAATACCAGAATGGTATGATTTGTCCCAAATTAAATACCTGTGTAAGAGCTTAAATCAAAAGGTTGACAACTTTGAATTTTTTCTTCCATTGCTTTTACCCTTCCACATGACCTCAGTAGTTAAAAGTGCCTTTTGGTTTTATCTAGCCAAGTGAGTGTGTCCATTTGTTTTGGATATTGACCTCACTACAATTAGCCATCAGTGAAGCTACAAAATACATGGTGGATGGTACAGCAAACATGAGCCAGCTCCTTGGATCTTTGGGTCTGGTGGTCTGCTCCTGTCCTTGCTGTAGTGGGCAGCAGTCCTGSTCTGAGTTCCGTGTTGTGTTATGGTGGTACTGCTTTCTCCAGTAAACTCCAGTAAACTCCATCACAATGTGCTTTTCCCTGACACTCAGCTGTGATCTCAGAGCAGTGAACCTCCAGTGAGAAATACACAGGCTGTAAACGCTTCTTCATCCTGAGTGATGATGAGTTTTTGCTCCCTGCCCTCTCTAGGATGCACCAGCAGGACAAAGCTGTGCTCTGGCAGGAGTGACCCACAGCAGCACTGTCCCCAAGGCTTCGAGTGTGGGAACAGAGCCCAGAGGAGCGGAGAGTGCTGAGCCTGGACTGAACACACCATGGGGGCAAACATCTCTAGCAAGTCACCACCCTTTGATGGGAATGAGGAYGGTAAGAGCTTTTCCTGGCTCTTGTCTGGAACTGCAGAGTTCTCCAGTACAGACTGACTGTAAGCACCCATCCYGAGGCTGCAAACATCTGGGTGTCCTGGGCCAGCAGAGATGTGTGGAGGTCAGCAGGAGCAGCACTTGTGTGCTTGTGGTGCCTACAGAGCTGTGGTCTGGTGTTGGGGTCATTTTGCCTTCCCTCCCAGCAGCTGGCTCTGAAAGCAGGATTGTCACAGCCCTTTGGGGTTGAGGTGTCCCTGGGACACTGCCAGGTGCCTCCAAGGGACAAAATACTCCTGTTCTGGAGGTGCCAGTGTGGGGAGGATGGGTAGGAAATATGGTGGGAAGGTGGCTGTTGCCATAGGTGCTCCTGGAGGCTTTGGGTGCCTCCCCACTGCCTGTGGGTGCTGGGAGGGCGAGCCTGCAGCCTGGCTCGGCTGGAAAAGTACTGCTGGGACAGTATTGGAGACCTGGGTCCCTGTGCTGCCAAGATCACAGACAGTCATTAAAAGATTGCTCCATAAATATATTTGCTGTTGCATGAGTCAGCTTGCTGACTGCCATATGTGCTTTCACCTTGGTACAACAACAATATGCATATGTAGATAAATACAAATAGTAATAAAAGTAAAATATATGAGGAGCTGGATACCCCATCAACCGCTGTCCCAACATGCCCTGCAGAGCTGTTTCCCATCTGCAGCTTCTTGGCTAAACCAGCTGCAATTTCCAAATTATTAATGCAACTGCTTGCAGGTTTTCTTTGGCTTTTGTAATTTTTCCTAGTTTCTGTAGTGCAAAAGAAATCCGTGCTATGAAGTTTTCCCAGCTCAGTATTAACCAACAAGGAGGCAGAGGGTGTGAACAGCTCATGAAAGAATTCCTGTAAAGGACAATRGGGACATAGGGTGTGAACACACAAAATGTGCCTGCTGGCCTAACTCCCCTGGGTTTGCAGCTGTTGCAGATGTTGATGCTCTGGTGTGCTCCATGCGGGTCCTGGTGCCAGGAACCAGGGATCCCCCTCTCTCCACAGCTGTGGCTGTGTGTCACAGCACAGGGCTATTGCAGCTGACCTCTCTCCAAAAGGGAAACCACTCTCATCTTTCTTTGTAGGGGATAAGCATCTTCACTCTCCCTTTTTATTCTGCAGTTATCCACCACCCTTCTCCCAGAAGGTCTCACAGGTAAACACATTCAGTTAAACTCAATCATCATCCACTTGTATTTACTTTGATTTTTGCAGCTGTTCCAGGTTTAAGAAAGGGCATCTGTGTTTAAAAGCTTGTGTTCCTTCCAAGTGCTGCAGGTGGTCACCATAAAGTTTGCTATGGTTAGACTGTGCCATCATACCTGAAAAGGTAATGGCAATGTCTTCATGTGATGTAAGGGTTTTATAGAGTCAGCTTTGCATTTGGTCTCAGCAGGAGCAGAATATCTCTGGCAGACAGTGCAGGAAGGCAGAGTGAGAACATTCTCTTGGCTGTTTTCTGCCCGGTCTGCCATTGACAGGGGCTGACCTAAGGAACTCACCTTCACAGCTGAGCTGTAGAGAACAAAAAACCCAACGTGTTAAACACCAAGTTTAAACACCCAAATCTTCAAAAGGAATAGAATATTTCTGGGGTATGCCTCATTTTTCTCCRCTCATATGGAGAAAAAGTAGGAGTAACATAATATCCTCAAATGTTTGCTCAGCAATTTAATATTGAAATGCTTGTTCTTTCTTGCAGTTACCTTCGACCATTTTGAGATTTTGAGAGCTATTGGRAAGGGCAGCTTTGGAAAAGTGAGTGTTTTAGGAACTAATCASCATGTGGACAGCTGGAGGTGTAAGTGAGGGGACGTGGATTGGAGGCTCACATGGAATACAGAACCAAAGCCCATGCACCTTCAGTGAGCCTTGACCTGACCTTCAATTCCTGGTAATCAGGAAGAAATCAGGGCCTGATTCCTTATACATTCTGTAGCCACAAATCATATTACATGAGATTAAAATGAGAAACTGCTCCAACAAATGACCAGAATCTCATTCATTTTCTGAAYAAGCATTTTCTAATATTTCTCAGCAAATCAACACTGAACATCATAATGCATTTTTAATCAAAAGCTACAATAAATATGGAATCCTGTCAGGTTTTTAATATTTTTTAAATATGTTAAATATTTCTCCATGAGACAGTGTTTKTTATTATTGAGTTCATCCCAAACTCATGAACTGTTGTGTAAACAAAGCCTGTTCTGTTCTGCACTCTCACAGGCTCTGAGGCTTTCCTTGAAGTGATGTTGCTTTTTAGATTTGGTGGTATATAAGAAAGGTTAAAATTCAAAGCCCAGTAGCCCAGTACCCCTCAAACAAAGCCCAGGATTCACTGTGARCTAACACTTCTCAGGAAAGTGAGGATCAGGTGCTGGCCCCAGTGTTTGACTTGTAGTTCTGTGGTGGAAGGGGAGTTCCCAACAGGAGCAAGTGTGGGAGGGATGGGCATGATAGTGAGTGACATGAAATAAAATGTCGACTTCTCTGGGATTCCCTGTCTCTCATGTTGTAGGGATATTTGATGATAAATTCCTTCCSCTCARTTTCCCCCAAAAATTTCTCTTTGGKTGAAAACTGGGCAAGTGATTCCCAGCCAGTGTCCAGTGTTGCAGTACTGSGAGATGGATTTGTGCCTGGCAGTGTGGGCACTGCCAAAGCTGCTGGAGAACGTTCAAGTTTTGCTGACAAATCATCTCTAATTTATCTCCTGCCTTGCTCTCTTAGGTCTGCGTGGTGCAAAAGACTGACACCAAGAAAATGTACGCCATGAAATACATGAACAAACGCAAGTGTGTGGAGCGCAATGAAGTGAGGAATGTTTTCAAGGAGCTGCAGATCATGCAGGGCCTGGAACACCCTTTCTTGGTTAATTTATGGTGAGAGGTGACTTCTTGGCTCCGTGGTTGAGTCAGTGCAGTGAATTACAGACACCTTTGGGATCAGACCCCTTCATCTGCTTCAAGTCTGTCTTGGGAGCAGCTGGTGCATTCCACTGACCGAGGCTCTTGTTCAGGAGAATTGGGATTTGTTAAACAAGCAGTTGTCTCCCTTGTCCCCCCAGGACAGCCCAAGAGAKTTTGTTCATGTGTTCCTTCACAGTGTCCCTCCAGGCAGGCTTTGGCTATCACCATGACCCCACCTGCACTCAAAGGTGCTCTTTGTAACCACCAGCAGCTTCCAGCAGTGGCATGGCATTGATGGCCAGGCAGGGCTCACTGCTGGGTGTCCCTTGACATTACTTGCTTTTTAATTTTATTAGGACACCAGTAACATTCCAAGTGGTGTAAGCTCATATATCCCATGATAAAGTGGCCAATRTGCTGTAGCTGCAGGATACCTCYAGGGTGGTGSATAATTAAATACATTTATTGGAAAYGGCATTTATTTTTAGAATAAGGTAGAAATCATCAATGAGACYAAAAGACAATGAAGATCACAAACCTTTGAATAATTCCTCCTTTTTGAAATCTCCTGTAACCTCAGTGCAGTTCAGCGAACTCTTGGTATTTTGCTTCTGTTGCTGTTTAGTGTTATTCTGGCTGGGGTATGAACGGCAAAGATGCAGCTCCACCTCCCATCTCACACCTCCAAACTTGTCTTTCCCACTTGAACACACAGTTCCAGGCAAAGTTTGCTCAGCAGCTGAGAACTGCTCAGTGTGTGTGAATATACCGACCTGTACAGAACAAACCATCCGAGTGTCTCTGCTTCTGTTCTTGCCATGCCAGCTCTGGCTCGGGATGCCTTTAACTTTCCTGTGGCTTTCCTGAGCTCTGAAAGATACACAAACTACAAACTCCATGTGAGGAGCAGTGGTCTGGCTTGTGGTGCTGCTCATCCCATGAAGCAATCAGTGTGCTGCTAAGGGAAGATCCATGGGGAAGAGGCTCCCAGCTGTTTGGCAGCCCCTGTCAGAGACACAGTCTGTCAAATGAGAGCAGCTGCACCCCTGTTGTGCTGAGCACTTGGGTTCACAGCCTGGCAGCTGCCGTGGGAGCTTTCTCCAGTGATTTCTCCAGTGCTGGGCTCTCGGGCAGGGCTGTGCTGCTCCGGGGCTCTTTCTCCTGTGCTCACCTCCYGTGGGTGCTCAGAGAAGACAGATGTCCATCTTGAGTTGTTGATACTATCTGCTCTGACTCTGTTACGGATCTGTGACAAATTATTGCCATCACAAGTGTGACAATAGAATTTTAGCTACAGTGGGAAATGGAGAGTGGAAAGGTCATGAAATTATAATATCTTAAGTGAAGAAGTTGTAAGAAATGATGAGCATTCTCAGAGGTACCATGTGTCCCTTCATTACCTGTCACTTTTCGTGCTGCCATCCTTGAACCACGTGTGCATGCTGTTTTAGGTACTCATTCCAGGATGAAGAGGATATGTTCATGGTGGTCGACCTGCTGCTTGGAGGGGACCTGCGCTATCATCTGCAACAAAACGTGCGATTCCGAGAGGGAACGGTGAAACTCTTCATCTGTGAGCTGGTGCTGGCCCTCGACTACTTGCAGAGCAGGCACATCATCCACAGGTCAGCCAGGCCCCGGCTGCATGTGGGCAGCTTTTCCTCGGTGTGGGCAGAGTGACCAAATCATTCCCTGTCCCGAGAGCCCACAACAGTTTGTTCAGCTGCACTCAGGGCTGTGCCCGGGCAGCAGCTCCAGCTCAGGASTCTCCCCTTTCACGCTGCTTGTTCTGTGCTTTACCTGCCCGGAGCTTTGCCCCGCTCTGAGCAGGAGGGGGAGAAGCTGCTGGGTGCTTCTCATAAAGCTGCGTGTGTTCAAGGTAAATCAAGTACAACAAAACATGTATGGCAGGCTGTAAAATTGGCAAGTTATTTAACTAACACTGTAATGCAAGTTGTTTAATTAACACTGTAACCCATTGGGACTGTATTAGATTGAAAAAGTGATTCAGCTGAGTCAATTACACTGCAACAGCTGTAATTGGGAACATCAGGAGACAGTGAAGCAATGGCTTTGTTTGGCTGAACAAAGCTGTGCAGAGACAACAAACTCAGGCTGGAATTATTTTCTACCTAGATGTAAAAGAACTGGAAATGTTTATATCTTTTAAGAAATTATATAACCAGTTTATAAAATAGAAATATACAAATGAACGATAGCCATAATTATCCCTGGTCATTGTTTGCATCCTGAGAATGATTT